CTTTCTCTCTCTATATATATATGTATATATATATATATATATATATATATACACATACTTACACGGTATCATCCCCGAATAAATACTCACGTACAAATTTTAAAACATGATACAATATTTGGATATGATTGTATCATCTCTAAAATAAACACACACATATATTTTTTTTTATGATAAACAATTGTATCAGTTTTCATTTTAATTCAACCTGATAGTAGTTATATCAATTTTTTTTCTAGTACACAAATACCCTTTTTTCTGATACATAAATATAATTGACTGTATCAGTATGTATCAAAACAAAAATGATATAGTTGGATAATGAATGTACTATGATACACATATACAATTTTTTCATGACACGTAAATGATATATACAATTGATTGCATCGATCTAAAAAGAAGAGAAGATTCAAAAGTGAACTAATACATCTTTTTAGTCTAATGATGCAAACATTGAACAACAATTAAGACAAATTTGAGTTCACTATCACCTTTAGTTTCTTATTTTCTTCGTCTCTCTTCTGCGAGTATTTTTTCTTTTGGATTAAAAATTTAAAAACTGATGAATGCATTGCACATTATCGTCAGGCGTCAGGTCAGAGGAGTATTCATGATTTTGAGATGATGGGTGCATTATTGTAAAAAGATTGATTTAGGATATAAATTTAATTGGTACGATATTTATGTTTTTACCATCCAAAACCGTTAAAATTTTGAAACAATTAACATGCCAAAAGTGCTCGAATTCCACTTAGAGAAGTGTCATCTTATAAAATTTAAATTTCTAATCTCGTGGAGAGAGGTGCACTCAGTCATAATCGCATTATGTGATACTCAGAGTGTGTAGGTTTACACATCTATATTTCATTTTTTTAAAAAATAAATAAAATATATATGATCTCGGGAAGGAATCAGGCCGCTGACCCACTTAGATACGCCTCTTTCATCAGCATCAGAAATTATGTACATAGTATAAATCAACTACTACAAGAAAAAGTGAATTGTGGATATTTTCCTAGAAATTAGTATGAAAATTTACAAAAAAAAAAGTTTTCTATGAATTTTCATACTAATCCCCACGAAAATCTTTCCTTATCTAATTCATAATTTTTTTGTAGTGAACTAACAAAGATATCTCCAATTTAAATTAATAGTTCTAAGGATTTACAGAAATAAAATCAGCTTTATTATTTCCGTATTAATTTATTTGTTTTTTTTTAATTTGTTAACATTTTAATATATTTATTTTTGTTGAGTTCTGGACAATTTGTATATTTTCCTTAATAGGCGTAAGTTCCTTATAATTGGAGATCTAATAGAAATAACAATTGGCCCTCTGTAATTAATTACGCTGAATTACCATGTTAGCCGTACTTTAATCAATGTATCTAATTTTGTTTATTCGTTTAGTATCTTAGTCATTAATCTGAACATTTTTTTTTAAAAAAAACAACGTACACATATTCAGAAAGTACTTAAAAATTAAATACTATATACTATAAACAAATAAAATTAAGTTACTTCATATTAGCATTGACCACGTCATGTTAAAGATGTGTGTCTGATGTGAAACTATTTCGATCAACATAATAATGATATATAATAATGATATATATATATATATATTATTATTATTATTATTAGAAATCTCTCTATATATTATTATTATTAGAAATCTCTATAATCTATATTATTTGGAACACTTCAAACAAAGAGCAGCCCATGAGGTGATTAATTATTTTTCGTAACTGCTTTTTATCGATGTTGGTATTTCTTTTGTTTTTTCCAGTTACTATAAAAGAGCAGCCCATGAGGCGTCTGATTGAGTTTGTGTGTAAAATTTGTATTATCCGTATAATTAAATATAGGAAAAATTGTATATAATGGTAAATTAGTAAATTAAATTAATTGCTATAATCATCCTTTGATTTAATAATGTTCCGTAGCAAATTGTTTGTCAATCACATCTCTCTCTAACTCTTGCTCGCTACTCTCCTCTCTCGCTCCATCTCTCACTCGTTTTCTCTCACTTTTATACAAACACAAATGTATAAAATTTGTTTCTATTTGTATAAAGCAGAGGAAATTATATAAATACATATATTTTTGTTCCCCTCTCCCAAATCTCGCTCACCACTCTCCCAAATCTCGCTCACCACTCTCCCTAATCTCGCTCGCCACCCTCGCCTCTCTCGCTTATACAAACAGAAGCGAAATGTATAAATTGCGTTCTCGTTTGTGTAAAGCGAGAGAAAATTGTATATACACATGCAAATAAATATAATTTCGTCTTATACACTTGTAATTATAAAATAAAAATACTCCCCTGCCCAGTTTCTTTTGGCTTTCTCTCTTTCTCGTTTTATACAAATTCAAATTTTATATAATTTCTCTCTTTCTCGTTTTATACAAATTCAAATTTTATATAATTTCTCTCTTTTTCGTTTTATACAATTCAATTCAATTGTATATTCCCTGCCCAAGTCTCTTTTACCTTTTTCTCTTTCTCATTTTATACAAATTCAAATTATATATAATTGTTGTATACACTTATAATTATACAATTCGTTTTATATACTTCGTTTTTATACAATATTCTGCCCAAGTGTTTTTCTCTTTCTCATTTTATACACTTCGTTTTATACAATTCACTTCAATTGTATATGTATAGCGAATTATACATTTATATGTTTGCTATGAAGTAGAATCATGCAAACTTTGCTATAACATACAAATATTAACTTTCTGTTTGCTATGTGAAAGTTGCTAATAAATATATTATATTATGATAGTTACTAATTTACGATGATATTATTAGTGAATAAGTATTAACTAAGAGGCACAAATGATGAGACCTTTAGATTTATGATTATAGATATATTATCGTGCATTTAATTTGGATACAATTATATTCTTTTAATTTAATTTAAATTTGTCGTTAAAGTTCTTTTGAAAATAATGTTTTTACATACACGCGATAAAAGTAACATGTATGCAATATAAATTATACTCTTTCTTTAGATTCCACATGTAAAATTATATTAGATATGTTGTTATTATTGACTCTAATGGCCTAAATCACTAACATGTTTCAAAAGTTTTCTGAACAACATAAAAGGAACATAACGTATTACTTTTAAGGATCGAAGGACCTACTGCTAGAGTCGTGTGCCACGGAGATGGCGAAAATTACTTTATTGGATGGAAAATGAGTGACCAAAACAATATATGATCGAACATGGTTAGGTCTCTTTCAATGTTACGTTGTTTATTCAATTAGATATTTGGTTAGTAATTACAAATTTGTACTCTACTATATGTTTTGCGTATATAACATATGAGTTTGATAATATTTAGCAAGTTTCAAAAGAATTATGTTGCCTTTTTATATAAAAAAAATAAAATCAATCTTGTCCCTTCATCAGCACTGATTTTTTATTTTTTTTTTTAAAAAGAAAAGATATTATCTTCATGAAATAAAATAAATTTACCTTACCATGCATGCATCAAGTTTCTTTTTCATTTCTAATAATAATAATAATAATAATAATAATAAAATAATCTCTTCCATACGATATGCAACATTTTCATTATTTTTTTCCCCTATAATTAAGTAGGCAAAAATTGTAAGTTTAGTATGAGATACAAAAATACAAAAATTATGAATTAGCTATTTCCTTGAAGAATAATTTATTTATGAAAGTGAGTTTAGGAAAAAAAAACTTCGTTTTCGATATTGACCTGTCGTATAAAAACAAAACTTACAAATGTCCCCAAAAAGAGAAAAAAAAATAAAAAATTGAAACCATATACCTTTTAAAGTCAAGATATTGAAATTTGCAAATAGCTCGGGGTAGAAAAAAAATATTATTATCAGAGAAATTGTCCAATGAAAGAACCAACAAATTGTAAACGAAGCTTCATAAATTCAAAGTGAGAATTTTCAAATTTCAATTTTGTTTAAATTTCAATTTTGTCAATATAAGCCAAGACCATTGACCAATTGATAAACCCAACTTGTCATCTTTATAGGGATCGAACAATTTTAAATATATCCTCTTTTTACAACAATTTTGTGTTTTATTTGTTTTAGAAAAAATAATCATTTGAAAGTACAGTGTGAAAAATAGTTAAACACATGTACATCCTTGTTGTAAATAGTCTTTTATAAAATTTAAAGGTTGAATTCGAAAGTTTCAAAATAAAGTATGCTACTTGATTTAATAGCTAAAGACGTTCAAGTATTGTGAAAGTCTAAAAAATTATACTATTTCCCTCTCATTTTACGTGCCACTTTTCGTATTTTGAAATTTAAATAAGTGTATCTTTGATCGTAAATTTTTCATATATTCTTTTAACATTTTGAACTATCAATTATTCTGACTTATAATACTTTTTACGGAGTTTCCAAATATATAAATTTTATTTCAAAAAAATTGAAAATTTCATACTCAAATGTCCAATAAAAATTAAACTATTTGACTCTCAAAAAGTGAAAAAATATCACATAAATATGAGACAGACAGAGGGAGTAATCATTTATATCAATTTAGTTGTAACTCTCTTATCCTTTCTTGGAAATTAGAACCATGAAGTTAAATATGGTCCACACTACAATTTATTTTTTTTAAGATAAAGTTTTTCCTCTAGATCTTTTGAAAAGACAATGCATATTAGTTTTTTTTTCTCAATACCATAATAGTATCGTAGACAAATTCATTTTTCACGATCTAGTTATTCGTTATAGCCTCCAAGCATAAAAGTTCCTCGTGGACCACTTCAAGAATTTCTCAATTGTAATCAATATTTAATTATT